ACCTTACAAAACATTCTGCAACTTTCTCTGTGATGGAGCGTAACTTAACTATTCCATTTTTCAGAGCTCCTCCGAGAGCATGGAGATTTTGTTGACATCACAGACGAAGAATTTAATTGACTTCACAGAAGCCACGCCTCAGGTAAGAGTAAAAAATTAAAATGTAGCTATTTCATTGTATAGTTTAAATATATAATTAGTACTTCCATTGTCTCTACCTAACTCTTTTTTACTTTCAGTAAAGCTTGTTTGAGCTGGTGTGTCATGATCAGTTTAGTTGATATGACACTTGGCCAATAAGGTTATAGTACAATATTATGAGTTTTTTTATTTTTCTTTTACTTTTAGGTATCTTCACCAATAATTGCGCCCAGGTGGCTGGTGCCAGTAAGTTATTGAATAATCCTTACAAACAATTAATTTTCATATTCTTATGTCCATGTCTTATTATTAGTAACAGTCATTCAACTGTTGTTAAAAGTGGTACAAATTAGTATTGATTTATATAGTTTTGAAAAATCTGTTATTTCTATTGCATGGTGGATAGTAAACATTTTCAGCTTTATCAAAAGAAACTATCTGCCACCTAGAAGTGGTCCTTAATTCTTCTGAAAAAGGCAGGACTTCCCCCTCTATTCTCCAGTCAAGTTCCTTCCTTGTGGTTATGATTGAAAAGTATTCCCCTTACTAATCCAGAACTATTTGGAGGATCTGTATATTCTGACCTGTTTCCAGGCTACTTTCTCCTTTGGAGAGTGATTGAAGATGACCAGTTCAAGGGCTACATCAGGGTTTGCACTGTACTTCCAAGGCTACACTCCAAATGCATAACTAGGTGTCACCCTAATTTGGGAGGTTTTTAATGGGTATGGTAAGTCTTTTTGAGATTCAAGAACTCATTTTGCTCCTTCCCTAACCATCTCTCAAAACTGAAAATGATGCTAAAACATTTGACGCTACTTATTTTGGATGCCATATTTCACTCCCAGAAAATCCCCTTCTGATGTGTCCTGCCTGTTAATGGTTTTTTTAAATTTTATCTTGGCCATTATCCCAATCCAGATTGGTCATTGTCCCAACCATTGTATCTCACCAATCAGAAGGAAAAGCTACGAAGGAGAAGGTAGCCTGAAGGAAAGAATTCAGGGGCAAGGGATAAATTGAGCATTTATTTCACATATCAATCCTTTTCTGCTGTGGCATTTGCAACAACTTGATAGACATGTACATTTGCTGACACGTATCAAAACAACTGTACTTAAATCACCTTTCTGACTTTCCTTTGGTTTTCTTTATAGAGTGGACTGACTTCAAATGGACCTCTGGGGAACGATGTTGCCTTATCTCTTAAGACAACTAAAACAAACACTGAAGCCCCATTGGTTACTGACTCATCACCTCCATTGTACCCCTCTGAAATCACACCCAGGTAAGGATTTTTTTTTTGTGAAATTAAAACAACCCTCCCTTCCCCTGCCTGTTATCTTCCACATGTTCCAGCCAGCTGGTTGTGGGAAGACAAGTCTACAACACTAAGAGCACACCAGTTTGAGGAACAGTAGAATGCTGAAGGAATTGTACAAGTTCTAGATTATTGTATAACTTCTGTCCATGTCTTTATATAACTTCTACAAAACAATACTTACTGGATTCTTACTAATCCAGTTCTTCTGTTAGGGGTTGTGAACACTATAGTATGTTGCAATTCCCAAGCTGTCTGTTAAGTCTACCAAGTTTCACTGGTAATTTTCTGGTCCTCTTTGTGATTCAACTTTAGCAATGTTCATAACTTCACAGAAAATATCTGATGTTCCATTTATAGTGAGTAATTTCATTAAAAATGTTTTTAAAGGTGGGGTGTCAATTGGGTATGTGATACAAAGATCTCTGTTCATAAATACCCTTTAAACTATTTACTCTATGTATCATAAACTTTAAATTACAGTGTTTCTTAAAGGTAATGTGAATATTGGATGATCTTGTGTAGCTGCAGGGCTGAGGCTTAAGGATAAAAGGCTAAAGATACCCAACCCTTACTCCAAGTCCACACCTCCAGCATTTGCCTTGGTTGCCTCCTGCACAGAGGTTGGAGGAGAACTTTTGCTCTCTTTTCCACCCCACCAATGCAGGCAGGTAGCTTTCTTGATTTGTTTCCCCCCTGCCAGAGAATTGATTGCATTTCCCCCCAAATTTTGTCCACCTGGAGTAGGTTGTGGATATCTCCTTTGGTTACATGATGAGGCAAGCATCCTCAGGGAGATTCTGCTTAAAACCTATAACTCCTTCCCAGACAGGGAATATATATCTACCTTGGGAATGCTAGATGACATCACAACTTGTTTGGAATTGTTTGCTCTCCACTTGACCATTAAGTTAACATCAGTCAGTATGAGTCCAAAATGGGCTTTCTGTTCATCATCCACCCAAGATTATGTATATATGTTTTTTTTCTTTCCAGTCCGATTACTGAAGATACTACACAGCAGAAATGTTTACTCACCACTGAACTCTGAGCTTCAACAAATCTCATTTCCTAGTATATTTAGTGAGCCACTGCAGAGGACTTACCTTAAATTAAGCCATGTTCGTGCCATGGTTAACAAAGAATGGTTGCTTTACAGTAAATCCTTCAACTGGAACTAAGAGTGTGATTATAGGACACAGAGCTGCTGGGAAACCTGAGTATCTTTTGCAAAATATATGGGAACAAATTCTGAGATGTCATGAAATCCACAGGGTTTTCATCTACTATAATGCTTTTGCTAGAGAATTCCTTGCTGTTTTATAGGTGCAAATGAAAATGCTCACAGGGATAAGCTGTTTTTTTTCTCTCTCTCACTTAAACCCAATAATGGGGAAGCTGGTGGTGACTGTAAAAGGAAATGGCAGTGACATTTTTACAGTAGTTTTTGTGGCCATCTCTTTTTATCTTCTTTTGTATTATCTAGCAAATGTTCTTGACTTTAATCTTAAGAGTCTACACTTTTGCTAACAATATATGGAAGTGAAAATGTAGCACCTTGATTGCAATTTATTCTGCTGGCAGATGCTCTCATGAGGAAAGAAGCAATGTTTTGTTAAACGTGTCAAGGCTACTGTTAGCCTTGGATGGAAGACTTTCACATTTTGTTCCATTCGGTCACAAAAATGTTGCAAGGTGTAGACAGCACATCTAGTATGGAGTGATGCTCTTTGAGCTTGGTTGTTTTCTTGCAGACATTTGTTCTCTTGCCCTGTCAGTGTTGGTGGGACTGGTCTTTGTGGTTTCTTGATTAGGCTGTTTGCTATTAGCTTGTTTCTCTGAGGTGGTAGTTCCTTGACTGGGGGTTTTCTTTACTTCTTCATTGTTGGTCTGGTGTTAATTTCTGATCATCTGTGTATTAATTGCTGGCGAGGAGCTGTTTTAGTCTTTTGGTTTTTTTTTTTTTACTTTTTGATTGTCTCTTTTGACAGGATAAGACCCTAATACAGTATATAAAAAGAGAGCAAATCCCACTGCTTTCTAGCACTGATGAGGTTATCTAGTTTGATAATGAAATGTCTGCAAGAAAACAACCGAGCTCAGGGAAGCACCAAGGAACCCACCATTCACCCCACCGTTTAGCCCTGAGCTACAGATATTCTTCTCTTCTATCAGTGAACCTAGTTTCTGCCAGATTAGCTGGAAGGGCTAATCCAGGGGTAGGCAACCTTGGCTCTTTTATGACTTATGGACTTCAACTCCCAGAATTCCCGAGTCAGCTATGCCGAGGTTACCTACCCCTGGGCTAGTCTTCTTTGGGCTTTCCACTAGCTATTTTTTGGACAGTTCTAAGGTTTATGCAGAAATAATCTGAGGCTTTTAAAATTGCTTCAAATGTGTACAGTTAGAATTTACTGTCCTTTTTGTGTGTTCCATTCTGTACCTTTCGTCAAGTCTACAATAATCTTGTAGTTCGAATGTTTTTTTGTGCATGACTGGAAAATTAAAATGCAAAATATACCAACATTGTGCTAACTTTTCCTATGTTAAGACCAGTAGCTATTTATACATCAGATTCCTTCCTTTTTGCCCACTAAACTGCTGATTGAACGAGTTTGAACTAAACTTATATTCTGCTACAAACTCAGGGGGGAAAAAACTTAAGTGAATCCTGAGTTTAATTTATGCTTAGAATTTTTGAAAACAGAAAACAAAAAATGCCCTTGGGCTTGGGGCAGTTAAGATTTATTCCTATGGGTCAGCTATCAAACTCATCCTGCATCTTCTGTCCCTTTTCAAACTAAGCAAGAAAATTGTACGACATCTTAATTCTGTTTCTTCCAAAACGGTTCTGCTGGCTGTGCATTAAGCTATTTCTCCATCTGTTTCTGATGGGAAACCTATCAGAATTTAAGCAAGAAAGCAAGGAAACCTGGGTGCATGAATTTTTGGGATGAACTCTGAAAGGAAAAGCAAAAGGGCTCCGTCAAAAGCTTCTTTCATAGTGGAAGTGGTGTTAAAAATGCAATCAGAGTGTACATCACTTCACTATACATACTCTCTTTCATAGCTGGTTGCCCCTTGTGAAGTAACACAAGCTACTTTGCTTTGATCTGCAATACTGTTTTAAGCAATTGCTCCATAAAATTTAATGGTAACCAGAGTGGGGGAGAGGGAGGGGATACTGAGGCAAATAACTTAGTATCAATAACCAAAGGACATATCCTGATTTCCAGAACTCAGGAGGCATGGCTTTTGAAATAGCTTAGGTAACATTTAATTGGCTATTGATTTCTCAGACATTTCCCTGAGCCAAGGTAAACCCAATGCTCTTATGAACCTTGCCAATATTTTTAAAAGGGATGAGAATATTTAGGATGACACTTAGCTCCTGATGTAGAGATGAATAGAGGTTGGAGAACATGGTACTGTTTGACTATTATCCAGAAAGTTAGCTTTGTTACCTTGAATTGTCTGGATAATCCTAACCGCTAGAATGCTGTGTGCTGACCTTTTTTAAAAATAATAATAATCCAACGGCTGTTGTCATTTTATTTTACTGACCTATTTTACCACAGCTGTGACAAAAACGAAAGAAATTAAGTTAGGAATTGCTCTTGCATTACAATATCACTGCCTCGTTTGGCAATATATTTACTGACTTGATCCTTACTCATTTAACTGACAGAATTTTCCAAAACACGTAACCTATTTTCATTTTTTTAAAAAAAAAAAAAGTAAACTGTAATGTGGTATGGAAAATGGAATACTATTATTATTGGCACCACATTTATCAGTGGGTAAAGTCTTCTTGGCAGATATGTACAAAGACATGAAATTACAGCTATCACACAAAGAATTGTAAAGCCTTTCATCAATAGAATACCCTCCACTGCAGGCTTCAGGTCTCTAGTGGGGCATCTGGAAACTGCCTTAGCATCTCTTGTGATTGATTAAAATGGACCAAAACAGCAGATTCTTTTGCTTTGACTAATGAATGCAAAATTGCAATTTGCGTTTATTTACTGTTCACTATCAAGCTGTCCACAGATGCTTAAGTTAGTTTGTATTTCTAACAACAATCCTGTTTGACTGCTGAAGCCTTTCTTCCAGCTTACAGTAAGGTAATTATGAAGTTATTCCTACAAATCCAATTTGCCTGCAACATGCATAAAGCCGAAAGTCATTCAGATTTGTCTGTATTTCTTCACATGTCACACGCTACAGTACTTGTGTCTCTGGGCAAAGATGCCTCAAGTGGAACACGCCTTGTTGCTCCACCTTGTTGCTCCGTAACTAAAGTTTCTGTGATTATTGAGGCGGAACAGTTTGACTTCTCTTATTAACGCTAATCATTAACATTCCTCTTGGAGCAAAATGTTCACCCGTTCTCTGTGAAACAGAATGCATGTGGAGTGACTACAGAGCATTCTGCCATAACATTCCTAATGTGATTAATGTTTTGATTACAGATTCCTTTGTTTTCACATGTTCTCCCTTAATTGGACAAATTTACTATGAAGTATGTAAGAACTTCTATTTTGATTTTTTTTAAAGAAAAAGCTCAGACTAACTACTGTATTTGTATCTTTTTAAATGATGTAGTTGCTCAAAGTATAACTTATTTTTTTAAGTATTTGTGTGTGCGCACGTGTGTGTGTGTGTGATAAGTAATGCCAGATGTAAAAATTATGCTAGAATGATTGCGCTAAACACTGTATAAGGGAACAACAACTGTGATTTGTAGACCACTTGGAATCAATCAGAAAGTTGTAGCTTATTTCTAAATACAACACAATTGTACAAAATGTCTGCTTAAGTGTTTTTCTTCTAGCAGAACAATGCGCTAGCATTAGGGACTGCTGATCCACGTATTTCAGAATGCTGACAAAATCCTCTGCTTCCTTAAGGATATCCTGGTTTGGAGTAATATCCTGCTTTTCGCAGCAGAAGTGACCCTACATTTCTACTTCCTGGTGATAACCTAAGTGAATGTTAAAAATAGTTGCAATAAGGAGAGAAAAGGAAGGCAGAATATTTGACTTTTCATCCCTAATGAGCATACCAATCAGCATACAAATAAAGAATCAACCACTCATCTTGTTTCCCAGCTGTAAAGCTACAGGAAATATGTCTTACAACATGTCAAGTGTTCAGTCTTCTCCAGCCAAGCTGCAAATCATTCAGCGAGCATACATTTTTGGCTTTTTTTCTCTCAATATGCCACCATTACAAAATCAGAAATACATACTTTTAACAAAGTAAAAGAACAGTGAATAACATAGATACAAAATTAAGCTAATATAATTTAGTTTTAGTATAAGAATTCGTGCAGTATAAAAATATAATTCATGTAACTATTTTTGTAGCATATAAAACAGACATTTGCTTAAGAGGAAATTATCAAAAAGGCACCATTCAGGCTTTTCCTGATGCTGTATACTTTGTGATTTTTTCTTCTCTCAAAAATTAAGAAAGGGTAACTTCAGGGGATCATTTTCCCACTGTGTAACATATTTCATATAGACTGTAGTTGAATGACTATTAGCAAAATCACTTCCGACAGGGCTGTTGATGGTGCAAAATAAAAATAAAAAGGAACAAATGCTTAAATGGTTTTGCTGATTTCCAAATTTCCAGAGTGAATCTGGATAAGAGGCTACCAGAAAAATCCCAGAGCTAGTTCAAAAAGAAGAAAAATGGTGACAAAACTCTTTTATACTCTTGTCACAGAAACTACATGGACATGTCTATGAAATGACACAGAGAGGGGGTCAACCCAGTGTGGATTTTTATGTCAAACTGGTAACATTAAATCAGTAAAATACTAGGCCAGCTGAAAATCATTTTCCCCTTTCTATGCTGCACAAACTGCCTCTCCCTGGACTGAAAAGTTGACAATCCATGTTTCACTCTCAATGCCAAACTTCACTATATAGTTGGCTGTTTGCCAAAATCCTTCGGCTGTGATTTTGGAAACAAACATGTCTAGGCATTCTTGGTAATGTGAATTTCACAAGAAAAAAAAGGACATCAAATTATTTCTATGTGACATATGTAAGGCCCAGTTGTGCTTACGTTTTCCAGAACAGTGGTTGCATGCCTAGTAAGGGACATGATAAGAGGATAGTGTATCGAAAAGATATACTAATAATCTGATGTCATCCATTACATATTCATGAAGGGAGAGTGCTGTAATGTATAAGTAATTGCCTGCATGCTGCTACTCTAGGTAGCAGGGTCAGAAAAAGCCACAACTGGAGAACCTTATTTCATATGAATTAAGATTGTCTGAACTGTGTGCGAACAGACACAATGACTCTTATAGATCTATAAAATTATACGGCTCTGGCACTTTAACTTGTATTGGAGGAGCTAATATAGGAGCCTGATGAATTTCCTATTTAAGGAAAATGCAATTTTAAACAGTGCAGTACAACAGCTAAGCATATGCCAACAAACACACACACACACACTGTACAGTTCAAATATCATTTCAACTGCAAACTCAAGAATATAGAGAGCGCAAGCACCTGCGCTAGCCTGTTAGGTAGCCAAACAATTGTTAATCTAACTATATCAGAATCCACAAGATTAGTTTGCAGTGCAAATGTAGAATATTGGGTTTGCTGAATAAATGATGGTTAAGTTTTAAGTTTTCCTTGCATAAGCATGTAAGCCTGTCATGCAAACGCAGCCACTGAACTGAATTACGATTACCTAGCTTAGTCATGGGAATTATTTTACTGTATCCTTTATACAGGCAATTTGCAAAGGGCTTTGAAATGGCGCGCACACACACGAAGAAATGAATGCAACCAATGGCTGCTGTTGCTGCTTCCTAATCATAGTGCCCCATCTACATCTGCTGAAAAAATTCTCACTAGATGTTTTATGGATTCCCATGTATTTCAGGGTCATAAAAAGTGTGAATTTAGGTTTCATGCAATTGCAACCAAGAACTGTCAAGTGGTTCTTCCTAGGCGCTGACTTCACTGAGCCTAGGCATGTCTGGTATTTAAGTTCTGTTTAGTTCAATTTGCCAAAATGAGATTGTAGAGGAGCTGGAAAGAGGTCTACCGCCAACAAGTAGCATCACAACAGAGGATTCACAAATGTCTCCACATTCATTTTTCAGCGAGCCCAAGCTTGACCTTCCATCTGTTAGATCCATGGTGGCAAAATCCTGTTCCTTGGCAATGTTGAGATACGAGGTTCTTTCTTTACACAGCCACTCTGCTGCCGGATCTGAATTCAATTCTGCATTGGATGTGGTTTGATAGGAAGAGAATCCTAGAGAATCCCTTGAAGACTGGCAAAAAGTTTTCATTTCTATGTCGGAGCCACCCTCATTGTTGAGTATCTGGTATGTAGGCTCGTCGCGAAGATGCTCACAGAAACAGGTGTGCTGTTTAGAAAGAGTCAGTAGCTTGGAACAACCCTTTTCTTTAGACTTCCGGCAGCTAAGGGATCTCAGTGGGCAATCAGCAGCCCGTTGGAAACCAAATCCAGTTGCCAGCATCTGATGGTATGCTTTGGATGCAAGTGCCACTGGGCTAGGCAATTTTTCCCACATTTGAGATGGAAAATGATATTGCCACAAAGTACTACTTGGCTTAGGGCTAGAAAGGCCTCCGCCAAGGACTAGCATGGAATCTTCCAAGATTAAAGCAGAATGGCCCACCACTCTTGGAGGTCCCTGGCTGGAGGCAAAGACAGCAGAGATAAATCAGCACAAGGGTGAGACTTAGGCTCATCAAAATGGGCTCAACTTCTCAATGCTTCTCTCCAGTCAGGCTAATGCAGGGAAAAGTCATGAGAAACACTTTTCTAGAGTCCACCCCAAACAGTTCCCATAAATTATGCACTCGGGTATTGTTAAAATGCACGGGAATATTGTCCATGCTCCTTAAATTGTCTTCTCTGTGCAGTACTGGCTATTATGATACTTCTGTCACTTCAGTATTTCTTTTTCAAAATGCAAATACTATCCTTTCATAACTGGGCAATGGCCCAAATAAAAGGAATGAACCACGTAATCAAAAGCATTTGTTTCTTTAAAAAAAAAAACCCACTCCATTCCAAAGGTACTAGAAACTTCAACTCTGTATCAGGGTTTTTCCTGCCTGTGCCTTCCCATGCCATTCAAGTCCCCTTTAGACAACCCTCTCCCCGTTTTCAATTGATGGGCAAACATCTGTAAATCCCAGCTAACATAACTGGAACGTTGTGATGCTAGTCTTCATGGGCTAAAGTGTAAAAGACTGACTTGCTTTTCTGTGTGACTCTAGGAACAATTGGCAGGGGAAAAACAGTTTTATCTTCACCCCTTAAACTCCTTTTGCAACTGCTAGTGAAGTACTTTCAAACAGTTACCTTCTCCTGATACTGGACCAGTTGGTGGCTATAAAATCCCACATCCAGAAGTCCTTCTGTTCGCTCAGTCCCATTAATCCTCCAAACAAGTACATGCCATTGCTATAAACCACAGCAGAATGACCATGTCGGGGACCCGGGCTACCTCCACTGGATGCAACTGATACAGGGGCCCATTGTTTTGTATCTGAAGGGAGATGATTATTAGAGTTCATTACCTTTTAAACAGATAAAATACATTTTTCCTCACATCTACCATTATACGCTATGTGGCTGCTGAGAAAGTTTAACTTACCAAAATTAAAGGTCCAGAATTCTTGGGAAGCACCTTTAATGTCAATGTATCCCCCATATATATACATATTGCCCCTGTAGACTACTGCACTATGGCCCTTCCGATTAACAGGAACTTGAAGCTAGAGATGGAGAGAGAAGACAAAATGGAGCAACCATCCTTAATTACTGTTGCCATCACACCAATAAAATCCAGGCAGATATCCTAAGGCAGGCATGTCAAACTCGTGACATCACGTGACGTCGTGCGACGTATCAGAGCTTTTTCGCCATTGCCGGCAATGGGGTGGGCGTGGCTCCGGTATGATGAAACCGGCCCGCGGGCCGGCAGTTTGACACCCCTGTCCTAAGGAATTCATACTGGTCTACTCACATGTCCTCTCAAGCAGTTCACATTTTAGCAACATCCTTCAAAAATAGTGTTCCTTTCCGGTTTATTTACATGTATCCCTATAGATGGAATTGCACCACTCAAATGACTGAACATCTCCATAAATTAAGAGCATGAGCGTGCATGTGTATGTAGATATAAAGAGACAGATGGAAAATAGACAGATTCTTATAGATATATTATTATATATTAAAACTATATTTTGTGGAGAAGGGAGAAGAAATGACCTGAAAGTTTCCTACAACATACAGATGATGTTCTCTCCTTCCACTGCTAAACAGAAAGAAAAATGGGAAGTCAAAACTGTCAAAATATAACTTCTGGCTAAGTCTGTGGAATCATGTTTTAAGGAAAGTAGAGGGATCCAGGGCTTTTTTTGTCATAGAACGCCCAGAATGGAGTTCCAGCACCTTTTTTGGATGGAACCTTGTAGAGTAGGCAAGGCGGGTTGTATGAAGTGTGTGAGTTCCGGCACCTTTCTTTTTTACAAAAAAAGCACTGGAGGGCTCTATGCATGGATGCTCCACATATGTTTTGTCCAGGCCCGCATACAAACCCATGCTCCTTTATTGGCTAGGATTTGAATGGGGCTCTTTTGGTTGGTCTGAATTGGAATTGTAGTGGTGCAGATGCCTTTTGCTCCCTGGGTTTCCAAGCACAGACTCCACATTTAATACAGGAAGTCTGGTATGCCTTTTCCAGCTAACAAAATTTATTAAAAAGCATAAACTTTTGTGAACTACAGCTAACTTAGACACGTGCATAGGGTGGGCTAGTCTGACACAGGATTTAAATTGCAGGGAGGAGGGGAATGGGAAAGGAAGGCGAGACAGGTTGGTTATGGGGAAACTCCAGTAACTAACACGGAATTCAATCTGCATACATAAAAGTAATTGTAGCCAAAGTACCATTCTTATTTCAACATTCAGAATTAAAGAGGTTCATTTCCAAATGGGAAGTGTGAATAATGGGAATGTCCCAGAAAACCAAAACCAGCAGCATCTTAAACTTACTCTGCTACCTTATGGCTATGGCTGAAGCAGTTTTCAAAGTCTGTAACCAAGCAAGCTATTTGGTCAACAAAGCAACAGATTTCATGGATGATTCACTATATTTAGTTTTGTTATTCCTTACCTCACCCTCTACTGCTGGGAGCCGGCAGGGTATCCACTTGGTTGCATCTGCAGGTGTATAAAATGTCAGTCATAGCATTAACCACAAGAAGGTGCTACTGTTCTACTTGCAGTGCTATGCAAGCACTAAAAGGAGAGATGACAGGAAAAGTTGCAGGCTGTATTTCCTTCACCAACAACACACAATATAAATACAGCTCCAAACACAATTCTCAGAAGACAGCGAATGGCAATGTTCTCTTCATTTTAGGAACTGTTTCTAAACAGCACCAGGCAAATATCATCACAATCTAGGGCTCTTCGTGTGTGTCAGATGACAATTCCCTTGATTCCCAGGTTTCGGGGTATCAGTCTAGGTTAGCTCAATTTTAGACAGAGCATTTATCTGACTCACCTTCTGAGGGGGGGAAAAATACAGTATCTACACTCAAAAGTGATTTTTCAAAAGGCAACTGGATTTTTTTTTTCCTTGAGGAAGGAGAAAGCATTTTGTTTCTCATCCAAGAAGCTTCATCAGTTGTGATGGAGGGGGGGGGGGTGTTCTTCCTCAAGAGAAAGAAAAAAACCATCCAGTTGCCTTTTGAAAAAACACCTTTGAAACAACTATGACCTGGATGACTGAGGATCTCCACAGACGTACAGTATGTACAGTATCTCCTTAGATTGCCATTTAAGCATTCAAGAAGAGGAAGAGAAAATTATTGGTTTGATATATTCATCTGTTCCTCATCTACAACCTTTTCCAGAATAGGCTGTACTTGAATAAAAATGCTCATCAAATATATGCCTTTTCTCAAAATATTCACCCTAATACAAACTAGTGCATATTTATGAAATACATGCATAAATATATCAGAAGGATGAAATTTGTTCCACACCTGTGTCATACATCCATAAAGGATTTATCTTCTGTGTGAAAGCTGAATCCACCATTCCACCAAAGATATACAGGATATCCTGCAAATATAACAATTATTTTCCAGTGAATCACATTTGCATTTTCTACAGTTCATTGCCATTTAGTGCAAGATTCAAACCAAATTCTTAAGCTGAACCTCAGCAGAAAGCATCATTTCTTGGTTAAGCTTAGTACAAACATTTTCAGGCTAATATAACAATATCAAGGAGCACTGCAAATTATAACTTGTCTGTATGCCGGTATCAAATGGTTTTATGTTCTTCTCAAAGCCATGCCATCAAAAATATTCAACCATGCTTCAGTATGATCTTCTAGCCCATCAGCAAGGGAGGCAAAGAACGGATTCAAGTCTTTTCATTACAATAACCAGTGACAGTGCATTTTTCAGCAAGGATTAAAACCTAAACTGTTTACTTAAAACATGTTAACTTCAAAAGACAGGTATTGATAGTGTTATGTTAACAGTGTTATACAAAATGCTACTTGTGATAGAGTTGATTTAAACGTTTCCTTCATTAAAGCTACAACACACAGATTATTATAGTTGAGCAAGCCTAGCCCACCCACCCCCTAAAATCTAATAATATTTTAGATTATACCATTTGGGTTCTACAAGCCAATCAAAGTGGACCTCTAGTGGATTATAACTGCTGGAAGCATTTGGTTGGCAAAAACTATGGTACCAGTCTGGCAGATGATGATGATGATGATGATGATGATGATGATGATGATGATGATGATAAAGTTGGAAGGGACCTTGGCGGGCATCTGGTCCAACCCCCTGCTCAGGCAGGAAACCCTATACCATTTCAGACAGATGGCCGTCCAGTCTCTTCTTAAAAACTTCCAGTGTTGGAGCATTCACCGCTTCTGGAGGCAGGTTCTTCCACTGATTAATTGTTTTTAACTGTCAGGAAGTTTCTCCTTAGTTCTAGGTTGCTTCTCTCCTTGATTAGTTTCCATCCGTTGCTTCTTGTCCTGCCTTCAGGCGCTTTGGAAAATAGCTTGACTCCCTCTTCTTTGTGGCAGCCCCTGAGATACTGGAACACTGCTATCATGTCCCCCCTCGTCCTTCTCTTCATTAAACTAGACATAACCCAATTCCAGCAACCTTTCCTTATATGCTTTAGCCTCCAGTCCCCTAATCATCTTTGTTGCTCTTCTCTGTACTCTTTCTAGAGTCTCAGCATCTTTTTTACATCGTGGTTACCAAAACTGGATGCAGTATTCCAAGTGTGGCCTTACCAAGGCATTGTAAAGTGGTATTAACACTTCACGTGATCTTGATTCTATCCCTCTGTTAATGCAGCCTAGCACTGTGTTGGCCTTTTTGGCAGCTGCAGCACACTGCTGGCTCATATTTAAGTGATTGTCCACTAGGACTCCGAGGTCCCTCTCGCAGTTACTACTATTGAGCAAGGTACCCCCTATACTATACCTGTGCATTTGGTTTTTCTTGCCTCAATGTAGAACCTTACTTTTTTCACCATTGAATTGCATTTTGTTAGATAGCGCCCAGTGTTCAAGTCTGTCCAGATCCTCCTGTATCTTAAGCCCAACTGCTCTCCTGAAAAGTCTTTTTAGCAACTTCTGCACAAGAGCTACTGTTCCAGAAGGTTTTAAAAAGTGGTCTTAGAAAAATGTATTTGATTATTCCTCTTAGCCAGAGGGTGTCCAACCCCGGCAACGTTCATCATTCCCTCTCTCTCACAAGCCTAATCACAGCTGTAGTGATAGTAATAGGTTATGGCTAATTGAGACCATGTAAACAGGAGAAAAGTGACATTAGCAGACAATACTTTCTAGGTGCACATATTTGAAGAAATCCACTTTGCAATCTAAAAAGGGTCCTAGCCTTTACCACACTTTCTTATAATAGTTTAGCTGACTTGCAGGAAATCCTGCTACAGGGAAAGGAGAGATCCTTCAGATGCTGGGGGGGGGAAAAGCACAACCCCTAGATATTCCTAACTTGAAGCAGGGGGCTACAGACTAGACCAGTGGTGGGATTCAAATATGTGAACAACCGGTTCTCTCTGTGGATGATGGGACTTACCAAAGAGAATACTTTAAAAAGAAATATTTGTTTGAATATGGTTAAAGAAATAGAAAGGTTTTGGAATATATATGTCACTCTAAGAGGGATGAATTCTCTAAATATAATATAGTATGCTTTTTTCTCTTTTTTGTTCTCTTTTTTGATATGAGTAATATAAAAAAGTTGAAATGACTTAGATAAAGGAAATGTTTTAGATATTTAAACATGATTGAATTTAAGAAAATTATAATGGATAAAAATGTTTTGAATAAGAGTTAAAGGACTAGACTGTTGGGAAAAAATTATGTGTTTGTTATCTATCAAAACAATAAAAATTGTATTAATTCAATGTTTGCAAAAGAGGATATTTTGGGAAAAGAGGAAATCAACTAAAACTATTGTGTGGATTGTGGATTATAGAAATCAATTGTTAGTGATTGTTTTACAAATGTAACCCAGACAACACACTGTTCACCAATTATTAAGTGACTTATGTTTTAAAAAAAATCAATAAAATATCTTACAAAAAAAGAGAGATGCCAATAAAAAGGGGAAACAATCTACAGGTAGCCCCCGACGACCGCTTATTTAACAATCATTCAAAAGTTTCTGAAGGAGTGTTTTATAGCCCATAAAGCACTTCCAGCTCTGGCTATCATCAAACATTATGCCATCCCCTTCCCCCAGCACTCATATCAAGACTGCATTTCAGCTCACACTTATTTTGATTGGAAGCCATCCAGAGTTGATTGTAAGATGGGTGACAATGACATGGTCATGTGATCATGGGATACGGTAACTGGTCATAAATTTATTTATTAATTTCAAACTTTTATATAAACTTTTAAATTAATAAATAAATTTACAACCAGTTACCAATCACATCACCCATGATTTGCAATGTTTTTTGTCAGTTTCCAGCATTATTTGCTAGTTTCGGGGGGGGGGGAACCCGCCCATTTAGTAGAATGGATTTGCTTAAGAAAACATGATTCATCTATTTACATGATTCATCTATTCATAGTTCAGATTTACAACCACATTATTTGCTTAATGACCATGGTAAAAATGGCCCCAAAATCAGCTCCAGACACATGGCTACCTTGACTTACAACTACAATAATCTACAACCAAAACTCCTGTCCCAACTGTGATCATAAGACAGGGATTACCTGTACAGTGATTTATAGCTAATTGGCTAATATAGCTTGCCTGATAATCCACCATTGTGTGCTCTTCCAGTTCTTCTGGGCCATCATTTGAATTGTCCAGTTTCTCCCATTCATCGCTCACTACAGTAGAAAGAAAGCATATGATGACATCAAGGCAGCTTTTTGATTAGCATTTGCCCTTGCTCTCTTTGGGAATTACAACTTTCTGCAAATCAAATCACATCCTGGACGTATGGGGCCCTTCCAAAAAATAGCTCCATTTTTCCCCCCTTCCTGAACACTTAGCTAAACATGCAGTTCAAATGCCTCCTAGTATCTTTTTTATTTTTTCGTCCCGCCGCTAGCAATCTGCAAAGAAATATAGGGGATAACATCAGAACACAGGATGTGTTTGACATTAGAGAGGGAGGAGAAGAATTGGCTCAGAGTTATACTCCTTTTGGCTGCAGACCGATGCATTTTGAAAATATCACTTCAGCCCTATCTTCTTGGCACAGTCAAGTATCCTGTGGAGTCCCAGGGTTCTCATGTTGTAATCAAGTATTCTTAAAATCCAATTTGGATCATTTCCATTCCCACTAGGAAACCAGCATTCCTCTATTCCAGTGGTTCTCAACCTTTTTAATGCCGTGACCCCAACCGGTCATAAGTCGAGGACTAAACCAGTCGTAAGTCGAGGACTAAACCAGTTGTAAGTCAAGGACTTTCCCTGCCTGGGAGCGCCGCGCATGCGTGGTTCCGCCCCCTGCGCCGGCCGAGGCGTAGCTGGCAAGCGGCAGAGACGGAGCAGGCGACCACCAGCTGGCCCAGCCCAAGGGAGGTAAGGCACCCGCTGGAAAAGGGGAAAAAAATGGCGGACAAAAAAATGGCGGACAGCCTTGCTTGGCGGCCCCCATGAAATGGTCGATCGACCCCAAATGGGGTCCCGACCCACAGGTTGGGAACCACTGCTCTATTCCTAGGTATAAAGCTATTATTCTATTACAGTTAATCCTCAACATACGACTACCGCCGAGCCCAAAATTTGCATTGCTATGCAAGAAAGTGGTTAAAAGTGAGTTTTGCTCCATTTTATGACCTTTGTTGCCACAATTGTGAAGTGAACCCCTGCAGGTGTTAAGTTAGTAAATCGGTTGTTAAGTAAATCTGGCTTCCCATTGACTTTACTTGTCCGAAGGACACAAAAGGTGATAACGTGACCCCGAGGCACTGCAAACGTCATAAATACTTGCCAGTTGCCAAGCACCCAAATTTTGATCGTGCTGCAATGGTTGTTAAAGTGTGAAAAAAGATCATAAGTCACTTTTTTGGTGCCATTGTAATTTCAGTCACCAAACGAATTGTTGTAAGTCAAGGACTAGCTGTACAGCAGCCTACCATTTTGGATACATTACTTTTTCAGCCACTGGTGTAGTAAGTGAGGTCTTGCTGGAATTATATCATTGAGGCTAGCCATCTGTTTCCAATGGGCATTAGCTGGTCACCTCTTCATACAAGGTAATGTGAAGGCAACAAAAACAATAAATAAAAATGGATTTGATAACCGATCCATCTAATTATATTATTAAAACAGTCCAGATTATCTTGCTCGATAGTCTCTGCCTGATGGCTATTTCAAAAACAGCAATATTCCGACAGGATTGCATGATTGCAGCTTCAGGCATTTCTTTTCATAGCACAATAAAACCAGAAAGAGCGTACCTTACCTATTTTGAACCTCCAGAAATCACTCAAGCTAGTATTTCTCCGGCCACCATAAACATAAAGGAACCCCCTACAGATGCAGCAAGCATGTTTATATCGATTGCAGGGAGAAATTTTGCTCTGTTCCACTGGGTTCCATGAAAGTGCCGTTTTCCTTTTCATCCCCGTGTTAGCTGGAAAACATATCCATGTGGAGACGAGGCCCGCCAAACAGTAACTCCAAGCTAAAAAAGGAAAGGAGCTAAGAATGGAGATAAGGAGGCTACTGCAATCATTTATTTAATTTACTTATTAATTCAATTTGTATAGACTCACCAGAAGTGACTCCGGATGGATGGAAATGACATATATGAAAAATGTAGACACCCACATTAAGAACTAAATAGTATAAAACACAAATACACTGTACAAACTCATAGGTGAAGAGAGGATAAAAATGGGCACCTCAACAATGGAACCATCTGGGCATATCTGTGGTTCTCTTTACATGACCAAAACATCACTCAGACTACATGTGATGTCTGTGATGTTAAATATATCATATGAGCAGAGAGAAATTGGCCCTGTTCATATAGTACAGCATGTTTTATTATATCTAGTG